TCTCCTGCCTCAGCCTCCCGAGTAGCTGGGATTACAGGCGTGCACCAGCACACCTGTCTAATTTATTGTATTTTTAGTGGAGATGGGGTTTTACCATGTTGGCCAGGCTGGTCTCAATTTCCTGAATTTAGGTGATCCACCCACCTCGGCCTCCCAAAGTGCTGGGATTACAGGCATGAGCCACCACGCCCAGACCCTTTTTTGTCACATTAAAAAAAATGTGTGTATGTATGTGTTTGTATTCTTGCCACTATTTATATTTTATCCTAGAGACTTCCCACGGCACAGGCCTTCATGGACTAGATGGTGTGGGAGGGAATCAGAGACCAATTCTGCTGGTCTTTTGCATGGGCTTTTTTTTTCTTTTTTCTGCTAGAATCTGAGCTACACAGTCCTCTCTACTTTGGTCCATTATTACAAGATAGGGTGGTTGAGAACTGGCATTCACTCTATCTTGTTCTCGCCAGCCAGCATCAGGTGACCGCCTTTCCTTTTCTGTGAATGTAACCTAAAAAATATGACTTTCCTAAAGTATGAGAGAGTTAGACTCTAGCTGTAAAGCAGGTATGGCAGACTGGTAGCCCAGTGACAAAGCTACCCCTTCTCATCAAGATTGTGCTACTATTTCTGTTTGTTTATTTGTTTAAGTAGAAACCTTGTTTAAGTATTTCTGTTAAAACTGCCATAACTGCATGACCAAGGAAACTGTGGGAGCCTATTCCTTATGGAACCGAAGAATTCATCTACATGACTCATGTGCAAAGTGGGTCTGTGTCAAAAGACTGTAATCTGAAAGGGCATTATGAAATAAACCATCAACCCAGTTCTTTTAAGAAAAAAACTTGACTGGGCACAGTGGCTCATGCCTTTAATCACAGCACTTTGGGAGACCGAGGTGGGCTGATCACCTGAGGCCGGGAGTTCAAGAACAGCCTGGTCAACATGGTAAAACCCCATCTAAAAATACAAAAATTACCGGGGCATGGTGTCACATGCCTGTAATACCAGCTACTAGGGAGGCTGAGGTAGGAGAATCACTTGAACCTGGGAGGCAAGGTTGCAGTGAGTTGAGATTGTGCCGGTGCACTACGGCCTGGGCAACAAAAGCAAAACTCTTTCTCAGAAAAAGAAAGAAAGAAAGAATGCAAAAAGAAAAAAATTTAAATAAAAATGCCACAGAGATTGTTCATCACATCTTTAAGAACCAAAGATTCATCCCTTCTTCCCTCTAATATCTTTTTTTTTTTTTTTAGAGAGAGAGTCTCACTCTGTTGCCCAGGCTGGAGTGTGGCACAGTGGCACAATCTCAGCTCACTGCACCCTCCACTTCCTGGGTTCAAGTGATTCTCCTGCCTCAGCCTCCTGAGTAGCTGGGATTGCAAGTGCCCACCACCACACCCAGCTAAATTTTGTATTTTTAGTAGAGATGGGCTTTCACCATGTTGGGCAGGCTGGTCTCGAACTCCTGACCTCAAACGATCTGCCTGCCTCAGCCTCGCAAAGTGCTGGAATTTCAGGCATGAGCCACCACACCCTGCCCTTCCCTCCGATATCTAAGAGAAGCTGGAAAGTAAAACAACAATAAGGAAAGCAAAACGTGCTTAAGAACCTGGCAAGAGGAGAGAACTGGCGTCTCTCAACTGCCAGTTTATGCCACTCACTGAGAGTATGTATCATTTCATCTTAATCGCCATCCCATGGGTCTGATATAATTTTTACCATTTAAAACCCAAATAAATTAATACTTGTGGTGGTTTAGTAATTTGCACAGTCAACTAGAAGGATGACCTTCTAGTTAATGATGGAACTAACTAAAAGTAGGCTCTTTACTGCCGTAAATCAAAAGTATGTTTGGGGTGTTTGCTTCATAATAATTAGGATCATATGTGTTTCCCCTTCTCTTCTTCCTTCATTTTAACTGGTCGATATTTCATAAGAAATATATGAGAAGTAGTGCCTTTTCTGAAAGATGAGAATTTTTTAGTATTTTGAGAGTTTTACTGACTAAAGTTTATTAAAGCTGAAGAAAAAAAACGATATGTACTTTACTTACGGTTTGATGTGGACATCATAGTCACTAAATTGTTAACCGTCTCCATGAGATGATGTTGCTGTCTTTGAAGAACGGAATTATTCACCGTGGCAGTCACTAACTTTTTTTCTAGTTCTTCAATGATGGAATTTTGCCTGGATACTAACACCTGTAGCTGATCTTTCTCTTCTTTCATTGACTGCAGTTGGACAATGTGGTTATCTTCCATAGCTAGCACCTTCTTTTCTAGGAAACTTGTAAGGAAAAGAATTGTTAGTTAGTGAAAGCTATTAATGAAATCTTTTATGCTTATTGAATTTCTACTTCCCCAAGGCACTCTGTTAAGATATTGTAGAGATTATAAAGTAATAAGATGTTACCAGAGCCCTAGGGAATCTCCGAAACTTGCTGAAAAGATTAGATATATAAGTGTGTGTATATATGTAAACTTGTAAGCATATATATGTGTACATGCAGACTTAGGCATACACATAAGGAAAGTTTCCCCATCTGGGCCAGGATAGGTGGGACATGGCTGTTACATGAATTAGATGCTGAAGTGTTCAGAAGAAGGGTGCTGTTCTTCAAGCTTAGTGTTCATGAAGTGCCTTTTCAAGAGGGGAGTTTCAATTGGGCTGGACTTTTGGGTAGGATGTTAGCTTTCTCCTAAATTATTTATATTTTAATATTAGTCCTAATTATAATAACAGCATTTAATGCTATGTGAGAAACACTCCTCCACAAGGAGGTAAATACAGCTACCAGATTCACGTCCTGGCTCACCAGCCCTGTGATTTGGAGCAGTTTATTTGGTCACCCTACGCATCAATGTCCTCACTTGCCAATTAGGGTAATATTACCTAGGTCATGGGGCTGGTCTGAGGAGCAAGTGAGTTTTAAAATGTAAATGCTTACACTAGCTCCTGCCACGCAGTAACACTCAATGAATGTTTACTAACATTACTATCCACATTATCCCCATTTCCAGTGAGGAAACTGAAACTTAGGGACATTGAGGGCTGGGCGCAGTGGCTCATGCCTGTAATCCCAGCCCTTTGGAAGGCTGAGGCAGCTGATCACTTGAGGCTAGGAGTTCAGGACCAGGCTGGCCAACCTGATGAAACCCTGCCTTTACTAAAAATATAAAAATTAGCCAAGTGTGGTGGAACATGCATGTAATCCCAGCTACTTGGGAGACTGAGACAGGAAAATCACTTGAACCCGGAAGGCAGAGGCTGCAGTGAGCCAAGATTGTGCCATTGCACTCCCACCTGGGTGACAGAGTGCGACATCATCTCAAAAACAAAACTTAAAAAGAAAAGAAAGGTAGGGACAATGAATCACATACCTAAAATCACACACAGCAGGTTACAGGATCAGAATCCAATCACAGAACTTTCTGACCCTGAAATCTGCTTCTCTCTCTCTTTTAATGCAGCCCTCTTCCTTCTAAGATATCTAACCAGCAGTGTTGCTTATACTTAATACATAACAGTTAATATGTGAGGAAGCCCCTTGAAGAGCTTTTTAAAAATTGTTTAGAGAGCTGGGAAAGTTATGCCATATAAGTCCTAAGAGATTTTATTAATGGTTATATAGTTTTTGTTTCTAATTTTAATTTATAGACATATATTACTATACATACGTTCAATGAAGAGCATACCACTTTAAACTAAAAATAGTTCCTATCCATTAAACCAGAGGAAGCAAATCTAAGAGAGCAGAGTCTATGTAAATAAGAAGCATTTCGGAATGTTAACTGTTTCCCAGGAACAAACTCAAAGACATACACAGTCAAGGTCCTTGGCAGGTGTTTTTGTTTTTGAGACAGAGTCTCGCACTGTCGTCCAGGCTGGTGAGTTGCATGACCTTGGCTTGCTCCAACCTCTGCCTCCCAGATTCAAGTGATTCTCCTGCCTCAGCTTCCCAAGAAGCTAGGATTGGCCGGGCGCGGTGGCTCAAGCCTGTAATCCCAGCACTTTGGGAGGCCGAGGCGGGTGGATCACGAGGTCAAGAGATCGAGACCATCCTGGCCAACATGGTGAAACCCCGTCTCTACTAAAAATACAAAAAATTAGCTGGGCGTGGTGGTGCGTGCCTGTAATCCCAGCTAATCAGGAGGCTGAGGCAGGATAATTGCCTGAACCCAGGAGGCGGAGGTTGCGGTGAGCCGAGATCACGCCATTGCACTCCAGCCTGGGTAACAAGAGTGAAACTCCGCCTCAAAAAAAAAAAAAAAAAAGAAGCTAGGATTACAGGTGCCTGCCACCATGCTCAACTAATTTCTTGTATTTTTAGTGAGATGGCATTTTCCCATGTTGGCCAGGTTGGTCTCGAACTCCTGACTTGGTGATCCACCTGTCTTGGCCTCCCAAAGTGCTGGGATTACAGGTGTCAGCTATCATGCCCGGCTGGTAGTTTGTTTTGTAGCTAAAATACAAGAGGAAAATTCGATAACCTGACACTACATTGTAAAGAGGTACCTAAAGAGGCTTTCTTTAATAACTGCGGGAAAAGCAGCAACTAAAGACACCTCAAGATCTTCATTCTGTTTGTACAAGGCCAGTAAATAAAGCTTTCAAAATATAGACACTTTTAAAAATAGTAAAACAGTGACCAGATGTCAAATTCCTATCTCTAACATTTTCCTTCCAGTATAAAGTTTGGTACACATGAATTTGCATATTGCAAAGTTTTGTTTTAAAGGAAGAGGACCTCTTATTCCCTTTTTTGAGTCCTGTATAAGTCAGATATCTTATTTAATAATGAAGTATATCAATGATGGCATCTTATGTTTCAGGATTATATTCTGGTTTACTACAGCTTCTGTTAATGTCACGTTAAAGCTAGTGAAATATTCTATACATTTCACTAGCTTTTTGGAGAAGGCATGTGAAGAGCAGAGAAAAATTATTTCCTACTTATTTGATCAAGAAACCTTGAATCGGCCATTTAACCCTGCTGTGAATTATCTAAAGCCTCCTCAATCACTTAGTTTCCTAGGAACTGAAGCATGTGAAATTGACATGGATGCTTCACTGAGTGATAGTTGGGTTCAGATCATGTCTTATCTTCCATTTATCTTAAACAGTGATGTGCTGAATACCTACTATGTACAAGATGTTTTTTAGGGTTTTGGAGAAAAATCAAGAAATGAAAGCATCATGAACCATAGTCTTAAGACTGTGAAAGTTTAGATGTTTTGATGATTTTCACAACATCAAACTAAAAAGACAAGGCTATGAATGTCTTCCTTGAGGAAAACCTACCCTTATGGCCATGTAAGCTCTGTAAATAGAAGTGATCACTGGGAGTACGTAGGAAAATCAGTTTCACTGAAGAGAAAATGAAGACCCTGAGACGTCACCTTAGGTGTCACTAGCACCTTCAGACAAAAGGAAGGAGCCTTGGGCTGGGAATCCCACCTGTGTCACGTGAGCAGCCACCCTGCTGTGGACCTCAGGTGCATGTCTGTCTAGATGAATATCTATCTATCTAAACTAAGCTCTATGGAAAATGAAGGCATCCGATTAGATGACCACTGGGGCCCCTTTTAGTTCAAATAATCTGTAAATCCACCTTTTTTTTTGACAGTAACATTTTCTGAATCTTTAAGCCTGCAAACAATATTAACCAGCCAAGGAACTGACTATCCATTACGTGTCTTACCCATAAAGAGTAACAATCAGTATTAATAATAGTTATTAGATATTCAATTGCAGCTCTGAAATGTATTCCAGCTCCCTGATCATTGTGAATCAGTATGTGATTTTGGAGAGATGGGGGTCTATGTTGCCCAGGCTGGTATCAGACTCCTGGGCTCAAGTTATCCTCCTGTTTCAGCCTCCCAAATAGCAGGGATTACAAGTACATGCCACCACACCTGGCTAACTTTTTTATTTTTTGTAGAAATTCGTTCTCATTATGTTGCCCTGGCTGGTCTCAAACTCCCAGCCTCAAGAAATCCTATCACTTTGGCCTCCCAGAGTGCTGGGATTACAGGCATGAGCCACTCTGCCTGGCTTGAATCTACTCTATAAAGAAAGCAACTGCACTTTTGGGAAATTATAGAAGATTATTTAAAATATTATTTGCCCAATGTGAAATACCATTTGCATATTTTTGTAATGATGTTGTTGCAAATAAAATCTTAGGCCAGTCGGAATTTAACGTAGAAAACACAGCATGCAGAACTCATACACCTGTAAAATCATCAACACTAGGGGGGAGGGACGGTGGGGGGTGGGGAGCTGGGGAGAGATAGCAAGGGGAGAGATGCCAGATATAGGTGACGGGGAGGAAGACAGCAAATCACACTGCCACGTGTGTACCTATGCAACAATCTTGCATGTTCTTCACATGTACCCCAAAACCTAAAATGCGATAAAATAAAAAAAAGGTATTTATAACTGTTGATGTAAAAAACCTTTCTATTATTTCATTTCATATTTGTGACAAAAGAGAATATGATTTCTACAGCTGATGAGAAAAAGCTTATTCTTCTTGCAGGCATAGTTGAAAAGCAGTATGATTGGACATATATTTGCAAAGATGATATTTGGGGGACATAATTGACCCAAATTGGTAATTTTAGCATTGTAGCATGCTAAATTTGAAACCCAAGTGGGGAAACAGTATTCAGTACTCAGGTATATTCCACAAACTGGACACAGCCTGGGTTTGTCATGGACATCGTGGTATAAAAGGCAAGAGAAAAGTCATCTCCAGCTTCCATATGTTCCTGGAGTCACTACAGTATGTTGCAGAGAACATTACTAAGACTATTTTTTAAAAATGAGGCCGGGTATGGTGGCTCATGCCTATAATCCCAGCACTTTAAGAGGCTGAGGCGGGCAGATTGCTTGAGTCCAGGGGTTCAAGACCAGCCTAGGCTACATGGAAAAACCTTGTCTCTACTAAAAAAAAGTACAAAAAATCAGCCGGGTGTGGTGACACCTGCCTGTAGTCCCAGCCACTCGGGAGGCTGACATGGGAGAATCACATGAGCCCAGGAGGTCGAGGATGCAGTGAGCTGAAATGGCACCACTACACTCCAGCCAGGGCAACCAGAGTGAGACCCTGTCTAAACAAACAAACAAACAAACAAACAAAAAAACTTAAAAGTAAATGAAATTAGCAGTATTGTTATATCTCAATAATTAGTCTCGAATGTTCATTTACCATTTTGTAGAAGAGAAATCTGAAACATGAAAGAAAAATATTTGAATTAAAAAATTGATTTGCTCTTCAAAACCCTAAAT